TATTTATAAAAAAAAATGTCACCTGCAAGGCTAATATGGAAAAATGGGATGAAATGCAACCTGTTTCTATCAGTATTACCTAAAAAAATCACAAGTATTACAAACTATTTCAATATCAACTTATAATATTCGTTAATATGAATTTGAAATTAACATGTCATTTGTAGCTTATTATATTTTTTATTATTTGTTAATTAGACTTATAATTTTATTAGCAATAAAATTTTAAAATCTTGATATTTTTAAAGTTTTTAGTAATTCTAGTACTGTTTTTAATTAGTTTCTCACTAGTATATGTCGTATTAGTCTTATAAGAATCTTGTATAGATTTTGATGAGTTAATTTTACAATTAAATCGAATGATTATTCAATTTAATTATAAACTGAACTCATAAAAGTCTATTTACATAAATATTTAATATTCTATTACACATTTTTTATTTTATATTTTACACCTGAAGCACTTTTAACATTTTCTTGCAACGTAATTTCCATAAAGACAATTTTTGTAGAGAAATAAAAGAGGAAATGAAACATCATCAAGGATAAAAATTATATTGTGCAGCAATATTGTACAAATCATTGATTTAAATGGTTAGAACGTTTGTTAATACTATTTTGTTATATTTCAACAATTAGATTATAACTATATTCTCTGATAGAGAATAGAGATATAGGAGATTCTCTATCTTATCTAGAATATAGAGAGATTCTCTATATCTAGAAAAATGTTCAATAAAGTAGAGTAGAGTAGAGTTTCTAATATTTAACAACTCTGGATGTATTTCTAGTAAAACTGTTGATTATTAATATTTTCTGTTATATTGAAATTGTTTGCTATAATTTAATTATTTCGAATAATTTTCCAGATGCATTGTTTTAAAAATCATACCCATATATTCACGTGCACAAAAGCATATTCGCATTATTAATGTTTGCATGTACACGAACATTTGCAAATTGTTCTGAGTAAACATAAATATTTGCTATAAAATATTTATAAAACAGCATTGTTAAGTTGGTGGACCGTTTATAAATTTATAATTTAAAATATTTTGTGTACTATTTATATTTCCCTTTGTTTCTAGTGATTTGCTATAGGTGCAGATTTTTATATACAGATGTAATTAACGTTTGTTTTAAAATATTTTCATTATTCTCTGCATTATGTAGTTCATAGAACGTAATTATGAATTTAAATCAACCAAGTTTTAGTGACGATTGTTCCAGGTTTAATTACACCTGTGCAATTAGAAAAGTTCTTAACGGTAGTCTTTACATTAATTATTTTGATAATAGTTTGAAACTTCTTAATCATTTGCAAGTTTGTATATGATTCAAGAAATATTGTGTTAGTAAATATATGGTATGATGTGAGTATATTCAAATTTCCATTTTCCTTTACCCAGAAGTGGGTTAATTAATCAATTCAACCCACTAAATAGGTCATTAATAATTTAAGCGTGATATAGGTCATAATCCTCCGGCTTGAGTTATCAATTTGCACTGAATACATTTGCTTAATTTATGCGTTTTCGTTCGAAATTTGCCGTGACCATAATGTATGTATATTCTGTTGATACTATCCATAAATGTATTTTAATTTTCTCAATTATCCGATCGAAATTTTCTATGATAATAGAGATAAGATAAAGCATATCTGTATTGTTTATATTATAACTGAAAACTTTCTGTTTCTGTACTGCTTAGACTAGATTTTAAAGTCTATATCTCTACTTCTCCTCTCTTTGATAACTTCTGCTACTGAATATAAATCGTAGCATTTCTTCCAGTAAAAATTCTTGAATTCGCAATATGTAAATCTGGAAAGAGAGCATTTTTATATACATACAGCTTCTCATTCATATAAATAAAAATCCACATATGCTTTGTTTTTGAGCTGGTATTGGAAAATCGAAGTTCTGAAAGTACATACTGGTATATTGAAATCTTGAATATGAAGAGTATATAATCAGAGAATGAAATTTATATATAGATATTAATCATATCCTCTTCTTGATTTTCATAAACTTTCAAGGATATATTTTTTCAACCTCATCAATGTGTTCCTAATATTTTATTAACAAGCCTTGCATCTTCACACTATTCCTATGATTGAACTAGTTTTTTATTACATCTGTTGGAGATTACTTGTAGAAAATATAAGAAGATCTGAACCTAATATAAATTATAGTCCTAGCCACAATAATTGCCTCTATTATTTTCTACACCTTATTTCATTTGAGAATTTAAAATAACTCTTCGGTGTTACCCGCAAAAGTGTACACGGATTGTTTTAGGTTCATTATAATAATCTGATAAAAAAATAGTAACGCGGCCCTTTGTTATGAATGTTCCCTTCGATACATGCTTGAAATAGTTGGAGATCGGGTATAAAAGTTACACATTTGAGGTGAATTACTTATGAAAATTTTGATTCTAAACACTTATATATTTAACAAAATAAAAAGATTTTTATCAATATGATTTTTATGATCTGTAAATTATTTATTGCTTTGTTTTTCAATATACAGTAATTTTCAACTGTTATTGCAACAGATGATTTGTTAGTGTAATATCTAACTTGCCGCAGGATATTACAAATATAAATTATTATTCCATGATTTCATAATAAGTAAAGTAATACCGGATGCATTGCCGTTGGCCAATTGCAGTAAATTACCATTTTTCCTCAACTATTGCTTTTAGAAAAAAATATTAAAAGAAATTGTTGTTACTGTTAATTGTTAAACTGGCCAATTGTAGTAAATTACCATTTTTTCTCAACTATTCCTTTTGGAAGAAAATATTAAAATAAAAATTGTTGTTAATTAAATTTGGTTTACGTTGAAGCTAGTTTGTTTGTTAAATTTTATTTGGAGCTTTACTAATAGAGTTATTTCTATGCTTTAATAGAGCGAACAGAACTTTTGTTTTACATCTTTTATCATGAACCAAGGCTTCTCAAACTTTGTAAACGTTGAAAACAGCCTTTTCGTTTGTTTGTTTTCATTTTAAACTTCTTACTTTTTATGTTAGAAAAAGTAGAGTTAACTCTATAATTGAAGATTTTTTATAAGAATCTATGAAGGTTTATATTATTAAATTCAATCGTTTTTAATGATATGATATTTATTATTTATACTTTTTTATAATGCTTTATAAAACTTTATAAAAAATACGTATCACTCTAAATTTTTACTTTCTATCAACTAACCCCTATTTCGTATAGTAATTGCAACATTTTTCATCTCGATTTCTGTTTCATCTGAATTTCGATTGAGATTTTTTGAGCTTATGAAAAAGCTCAATTTTACATAAAAATAATAATCTAAAATTGTCCAACTTTAACACTTATTTTTTAATGTATTGGAACAAATTAAGCGGTTAATTTTATTTAATTTTTTTTAATTTTTTTGCTATTCAAAATTTAATTAATTTGAAATTTGCTTAAAAATGTTTAACTAACTTTTATATATTATTGTCTTGTATATTGCAATAACCTAAAGTACTTGAATAATCATCGTGTTTTATCGAAAACTGAATTCGTAAAAGATTATTTGCATTAATATACTTTTTATTACTAAATTTCTAGTTTGCATGTTTTATTCTACATTCTAGCACTCTTGTTTTAAAATTAGATCTTTTTTATAATTTTCAATAAATACTTGTTTGATTTATTCTGTGTAACATCACTTTGAGCATCCTTTAATTATATTTTTAATATATTGATTGTTTGCAAATTAAAATTTAATTAATTCAAAATTTGCTTAAAAATCTTGGAAAGTAAAGGAAGTTTAATAATATCATTGAATTTAATCAAAAATTGATTGCCAATAAAATTAAAAATTTATAAATATTCAATGTCTTTTCTAGAACTATCTTACAGTGTACACGTTTTATTTTAAATTTTACTATTTTAAAAATACGAAGAGCACTTTTGTCTTACATTTACTTTTCGGTCGGATTAAAATTAGAGGGACCCATCTCTATAAAGAGATACCCGTAGTACATGGAAGTATTTTCTGTCGATAGAACAGAACGCGCAATGTGTAAACAAGATTTAATAACTATATATATATATATATATATATATATATATATATATATATTTGATACCCTTATCTAGTATTGTTTTTGTATGAAAGTTATTTTTATATATACTGTATGTCGTATGAATGATGAATGCCTACAGTACACGATTTGTATAGTAACTTGCCATGGTGGCTGAGAGTGGACAATCGACCGAAAAGGGTTTATTCTTTTTTTACGAACATTAGTCAAATATATATATATATATATATATATATTTGACTAATGTTCGTAAAAAAAGAATAAACCCTTTTCGGTCGATTGTCCACTCTCAGCCACCATGGCAAGTTACTATACAAATCGTGTACTGTAGGCATTCATCATTCATACGATACAGATATATACAGTATATATATATATATATATATATATATATATATATATAAACCAGTGGTGTGTATGGCATCGTGCCTTAAGGCAAATTGCTGGAACTTTCCGTACCGTAACGAAATGTTCGAATGTTCTCTACTGGCAGCAAACTTACTTGGAAAAGCCACATAAAAACAAAAAAACAGCAAATGCTGATCAAAATGAAAGAATTTAATTGGCTACTGCGTAAGAAGTCTAAGCTCTCTATGAAAATAAGTTGCTGCTATATAAAACAATCATTAAACCAATCTGGACCTACGGAATTGAGCTCTGGGAATGTGCTTACAAATCAAATATAGCTATAAAGCAAGAAAAAAAATTAGTTAAAAATAATTTAATTCATTAAGTAATGCGTAACATTGCTTAAATTGTTTTAAGGTTCCTTTTACTTTACTAAATTTTTTTTTAATCTTCTAATTTTTCACCGACTCTACCTTTAATACAGTCCCTACCAAAAAGAAGTTTTGATATCGTCGCCGCTAGCGCGTAACGGCTGGCGGACGAGGAGTGCCTCGTGTCAGTTAGGTGTCGACCGCCACAGAGAGCGTGCTTTTGCGCTGAAATCATCTCGCGATAACGTTTTGAATGTGTTTTATATGAAAACAGTGGCTATTTATTTACTCGATATGTGTCCACAGTAAAGTATTTGTGATTTATTCAAGTGTTGTGTGCTGATTTAGTTTGTTCAATAGAACCTAAAAAAGAACAAGGTTTGTGGTGTTTGTGCTTACAACGTTTTAGGATTTTGAATTCGTGACTCTACGTGGATAACGCTAGGTAGGTGTGCCGTAATAATATACAGCTTTTTGGCTTAATTAGTAATTGAAATTTTATTATAAATTGAATCGTGAAATTTAGAAATAAATGTGTGTGCGAATGGAGGACAAATGTAAAAAATATTATAAAATAAACAAAAGATAACTAGCATTATTGGTTGATAACGATGGTGCCCAAAGAAGTCAACACAATTTTTTTATTACAAGAAATAATACACATTTTTTATTTTGTTCAAATTCACTTAAATTCAACATTTTTCTCACTAGTCTTTAAATTATTAAACTGTCATGAATATTGTCTCAAATAATTGAAAAAAGTAAAGTGTTGCTTCTGAGTTCATCCTCTTTTTCATAGTAGTGTCTAAATGATTTGATTGTCATAAATATTGTCTCAAAGAAAATTTTATATTTAAATTCAATCTCTTTCTCCAGTCTATAGTCAATAGTCTATTAAATTGTCATGGGTACTTTTTCAATTATTTTAAAAATAATGTGAAAATTGCTCTTAAATTCAACCGCCTTTTCAATAATCTGTAGAAGATTTATAGATTGATATTTATATTATAAAATAATAGTAAATTCATCATTTTTTTCAATAGCCTTTTAAAATGTCATATTGTGCTTTAAGTATTTTAAAAAAGATTATTATCTTGCAATGAAATTCAATCTCTTTCTCCAGTCTATAGTCAGTAGTTTTCAAATGATTAAATTGACATGAGTATTTTTTCAATTACTTTAAAAATAATGTGAAAATTGCTCTTAAATTCAACCGTCTTTTCAATAGTCTGTAGAAGATGTATAGATTGATATTTATATTATAAAATAATAGTAAATTCATCATTTTTTCGATAGCCTTTTAAACTGTCATATTGTGCTTTAAGTATTTTAAAAAAGATTAATATCTTGCAATGAAATTCTCCAGTCTATAGTCAATGGTCTTTAAATTATTAAATTGCCATGGGTATTTTTTCAATTATTTCAAAAATAATGTGGAAATTGCATTCAAATTCAATATTTTTGTCAATAGTCTATAAATGATTAAACTCTTACAAATATCCTCCCAAATATTATAAAAAAAAATAAAAATCAAGTTAAGTTTTAAGCTCAATCTCTTGAATACTCAATAGTATTTTAACAATTAAAGTGTCTAAAATATTTTTTCACATATTTAAAAAATATGTAATTCAATCAATAAAATGTTCTATTTGATAAACTTAAATGTATCAGCCTTTGTGAGTAAAAGTTATCAATTTTCAGATTAATTTTTATCACTGGGAATTAATTATCTTATTTATATTAAATGACAGGACTTTTAATTTAAATTTAATTATTTGTTATGAGAAAATGTTTACATGTAATATATATTAGATAAATCCTGGATTTTCAATAAATTGATATATGTTTCTTTTCCGATCAATTAATTCTATAAATAAAGAACTGTTTTTTTTATGAAATATCAATATTAATGATGATGATTACATATATAAAGAAATGGATTATGTACCTTTTCTTAAAATAGAAAAAAATTTAAGACATTAGAAGCAAAAAGAAAGAAGCAAAAATTATTTACCTGCAATATTGATTTATATTAAATCCATAATTTTTTATCAAATGCACTCGTAAAAATTTATTTAGAAACATTTTATATTAAAGTGAAGTCAAAATTTTCAAATATTTTTGAATATTTTTTTACAAGTGCTTTTGATAAAAAACGAGTGACAGATTTATAGATCAATATTGTGCATTAATTATTTTCTTTACAAAGTTTAATTATCTCTAATAAATTTATCTATTCCCAATTCATAGAAAAGTATGATATATCGGCGGTTAAAGTCATGGGGCAGTTAGTAATAAATATATATAGAATACGTGATCTAAACTTGTTTTTAAAGAACACATTCCTCTGAGTCATTCGGCGCTGTGTCCATCTAAAACGGTCATGCATAAGTCAAATGGACATACAAAAACGTGTTTTTAGACGATCCACGGTTTTTATTACATTTGTTTAAGAAAAAAAAACTGAACTTTATTTAAGTTAGGTTTTTGTTCTAGTCAGAAAAAAGTTAGAAGTACAATGTTACAAAAAATAGAGACAAAATAAGTCAAAATAGTGTAGATGATCTATAGAATCAAATATATATGTGGTCAAATGACCTGCAGAAAAATCTAGGAAAGTAAATAAGATAGTTTCTAGAAAAGATTGAGGATTTTCAATAATAATTTTAGAGTATGACTTTCAATAAAGTCAATAATATATTTCAAAATTAACACTTATTTTTTTACTATTTAATCATTATTTTTACTATTTAATATTTTTTTATTTATTTACATTCTTAGAGTATGAAATGAATCAAAAATTTATACTTTTGTTTGATTTTTTACATAATATAAAGTGAAAATTGTTGATGTCCTTGTGATATGATTCATTTTGATTCTATATTGCCTTAAATTTTATTTGTTTTTTTTTTTTTTGAAGATGTAGTAAAAACGATTTTGTATTTGTTTTTTATGGTTCTCTTATTTCTAAATTATATTGCATTCAATTTTGCAATTCAAAATTATAAGAATATTTCAATATACCTACTATAATTTCATTGAAATTTTGTATAATGTTAAATTATAATATTACAATAAATTTTTGATTTTATAGGTAATAAATTCCAAGTTTCAAGTATGAGCTGTAGGTACTTGTTAGCTCCCATTTAAGAAATTTAGGTTTTTATTATGTATATATTTGATTTTTTGTTTATTTTAGAACCTTACTATGACAGATTAAAGGTATATTGACAGTGTTTTTTATATTAAAATCACAAAATGGTGATATTATAACACAGAATGTGTAAAATTATTCTTTGACTACACGCTATTTAATGTTGCAGCTCAAATTTCTCTTATAATAATAGCATTTATCACAGATATTATAACAATAATGAAATGCAATAAAAATGTTCATTGAAAATACCAATTATGGATATTTATAAGTCGATTTAATGATCATGTTCATTGAATAAGTTCATATTTATTGTCATCTTCCAAGTATCAAATGTGAGCTGCGCATTTTGCATTCAAGGCTAAATTGAGTCATTAAGGAATGCCGCGCCGGCTAATGTAACGATACATTAGTAAACATTTATCGCATTATCTGATATACTATTTACCTGATAACTACTACAAATACACAGATGACACCTGTAGCAAAATTTCCTATAAATAAAATATAACCATCCAGACCGTAATCAATACTTCTAAATAACCAAAATAATACAATTTAGGCAATGAGTATCCGCCAAAATAAATTTTTCATTCTAAGCTTGAAAGCATTTTTGACCACATCAATTTTTCCCATTTCCAATTCTAAAAGTGCTAAAACACTAAACTTTTTAATATTCTAATAATGACTTGTATCAATTTCTTACCAGGTTGCATCATTTGCATTATTATTTAATCCAATTTTTCAGTTAAAAGAATGCATAAGTACTATCTTTCTTAAATTAAATTAACTCGTCCATTTTTTACGAGCTACATTATAACATATAACGACAAAAGTTTTAATAAGATTTTGAAATGTTGCAGAAAGAGATGTCCTGCAAACTTTTCTTTTAAAATCCTGCGAATGCTATTGCACATACCAAATTGAGATAGAGTTTTATATTGCGAAACTTTGATAAGATAGTACCTATCATAATAATGTGAATAACTGAAATTATTATTTTTATTATATATTTTTATCTATTTGATACATAAAATTAATATTGAAAGAATGATTCGCTACATACTAATAGGAAGGTGATACAAAAACCACTAAAACTTAATTTTGCTACTTTTGTATCGGATTTTTGCATATTTTCAATAAATTATGAGGTAGAGCGAAGGATTATTATCAAAAATTTAATATATAAGATTTTTTTTAGAAAATACCGGTATTTAAGACTAATTTCCTTAGGCCAATTCTTTGACATCAATACAATATTGTGAGTGCTCCTTATACTAAAAGCACATTTATCCAAAACGCAATTGAAGTAATGGCAAATAAATTGTATTTAATTTGGCCATGCGTTTCCGACTATAAATTCTTTCACAAGACAGGTAATGTCGACAACAATAAAACTTGCTACCACTAGGTTGTTTTTATCAGTGCTTTCCATACTTTTTCGAGATAGGTAATAAAATACTTATAATATTAAATCAAGAGTATATATATTTTTATTTGTAACATGATTTAGACTGGTAGTTGCTCATCGTGCAAATGCTTTGGTAAAAATGTAGAAACATAGATTTTCTTGTAATTTAATTATTTGCTGTAAGGTCTGTAGGTGCTTTAATAGAATCAAGACCAGGCTTACAAAAAATTAAATACAAAAAATCCTGGAAACATCAGAATATTGATTGGAAACTAAAGGATTCAAAATTTTCCAATTTGTTGTTATGATCATACTTGTCTAATTGCAATTTTATATCATGTTTGGACATTAGTCAATTAGGATTCACTAGTTTCTAGTTCGATTCCAACTTCGGACAGTTCAATATCAAGCAGTATGATATCATATTTTTACTTGAGATTATGGATCTTAATATTCTTTTTGAATGTTGTAAGAAGATGGCCCAAATCGTCAATTAACGTCGTAATCAACAGAAAACAGCTTGTTGCAATTTTATATCATGTTTGACTACTAGTTTCGATTCCAACTTCGGACAGTTTGATATCAAGCGGTATGATATCAGATTTTCACTTAAGATTATGTATCTTGATATTCTGTTTGGATATTGTGACGAGTAAAAGTTGATGTGCCTTTTCTTGGTTGTTGCAACGATTTTTAAAAATATAAATTTATTATATTTTAGCATTGCATCCCCATTACGAAAGGGTTACTCCAACTCCTTAGCCCGACTTCTATGAACACCCTGTAATTACCTGTGGAAACTAAACCAACTAACTACGGGGATGAAACAGGATGCAGTTTTATTTTATTTAATTTATATAATTATGATTACAAGTGTGAG